GATCAGTTCACATGTTTGAAAAAAATTGGTTCAGATGTGCCCTGTTGACTCTGATTCTATTAAAATTTTTGAATCTAATGTTGCTCCTGGGTATGAATTTAAGTCTGTCTTAAACTCTATGCTCAAGAAACCCTACACTGAGCGAATTATGAACAGTGATCTATTTCCCAAATTCGTGACCACATGTGCTCTAGCTCCTATTAATAGTATTTTATTTTGGATCGTTTGCCATATCATTCGACCCAAAAAGGGTGGGTACTCTCGCGTGGACAAGCCAGAGGTTCAGCTCATGTATGTACTCAAGAACAAAATCAAGATTCATTGACCATACTACTTTGCTAGCAGGATCTTCGATCTACACAAGTCTGAGAGGGACTGCACTATGCTACCCATCATTTATCCAACGAGCTCTCAACAGGGAAAGTATTCGGGTGCCCGACATCTCTTACGTAAGTTTGGATATGGACCAAGAATTCTCCAGCAAATCACTCACCTTAATGGGTTTTCTGTGGGATTCCCAAAGGCAAAGATACACACACATCGTAATAAGTAACTGTGTACAATTCCAGAATAGTAATGATGAAGAGGATGAGGAAATTGATATTGGGAGTGAAAAAGAAACAAGTGATGAAAATGCTGAAGATATGAAAGCAGATACTCCTATTGTTCAAAGCGACAACTCCAGTGTGTTAACTCAATTGGAAAGGATGCAACTCTAGCAAAATGAATATGCTTCCCTCCAAAATGAACGAATCTCTAACCTCTACAATATTATCAAGGTCCAAAGTGAAAACTTTGCTTCTTACTCAGTTGTCCAAGCTCAAAGGTATTCAATCTTGCATGGAATGATTCAAACACAAGCTGATAACTTAGTCTCCTTCCAATCCACCTTCATGCAACACTTTCAGCATCCTTCTCAACAAGTTCCTTCAACCCAAAACCAAGACCAAAACCAAGACAATGAAAATTGAACTTGCTTTGTGTCTTGTTTTCTCTCTGCTTAAATTTCATTTTGCTACAATTTTGTAATGTTCTGCCTAACTTTATTTGCTTTCCTTAAACTTACTTTGTGTTTGTTTAAGTACATTCTTCATTTGGTATATATAGTACTTTGTTATGACTATCTAATTATCTCATTTGCACTATTTCTCATTTTATGTGAATGGCCTTTAGTGCATTAAGATGCAAATTTATGATCTCTACTCTTCTTTTTATTGCTGCTATTAATCAAATGCTTTTCTCTTTTTGATGTTGTCAAAGGGGGAGAAGTTCTATGAGAGTGAAATAGACTTACAATTTCCGAGTTCTGAAGATGTGCACAAACTCAGGGGGAGTTCCCTCTTCTTATGTCATTTGATGTATTCTTGATTTGACAATATTGTGTAGGTTTTGCCATGATAAAAAAGGGAGAGTATGTGAGGGCAAGATTCATGTTTTTATGATGTCAAAACCTCTCATCTCCTCAATGACATGCGTGGTACATAAAATATACTTTGGACAAAGTATGAGATGCAAGCTTAGATGAAAATAACCTTTTTGGCAAGAAAAACAAAGACTTCATCGATGCAAACTAGCTTCAGTCGACTAAAATCTTTGTGCTTTTCCCTGGTTGTGTTGCACCGACCCCTTGGTCGACTCAACCTGATATCCAAGAAAATTTAAGGCTACGTCGACGCAACCCCCTGGTGAGGTCAACGCATTCAATCTGTTTGGTTCATCTCCTTGGTGCGGGTTGTGTAGTGCCGGCCCAAGGCTCTGGTGCGGTCGACGCATTCAATATGTTTGGATCATCTCCTTGGCGTGGGTTGTGTTACGCCGACCCAAGGCTCTGGAGCGGTCGACCGCTCACTTAACACACTCAAAATTATGTTTGTCTTATTTTCCTTCTTTCTCAGATATTATTGGTTTTTCACTAACACATATAAATAAAGTTTAGATTCCTTTTGAGCAGCTAACAAGAACTAGTGAAAGATACACATAATGCTCATCATCTTCATCCTCTCTTCTTAAAAATCAACATCTACACATAATCATGGTTGTTGATTCAAGAAAAGTGTTGCAGTGATAACGTTCAAATCAAGGATTCAATTCAGATTTGGGTTGAGCAATTGTGGGTTGTTCTTGAATAAAATCGTTTAGTTTTTCTCCTCCAAGATTCCAATTGGTGCGGGGGTTTTTGTACAAGTCTTTGCTTCATTGAATTCAGCCGAGTGAAAGGGTTAAGAAACAATGGGTTTGCTTAATCAAGTAGCGGTAACCAGAGGATTGTGAAGATAGATTTGGGGTCAAATTGCTTGTGATTGAAATCAGCCGAGTGAAAGGATTAAGAAACTGTGGGTTAGCTTAATCAAGTAGTGGTAACCGGAGGTTTGTTCCCAGAATTTGACATTTGGTTTGGCTCAAACCAAGGAATGGGAAGAAGACTGTTACATCAATAACATTAGTTTGTTTGTATTATGAACTATCTCTTCTCTTGTAATATTTGCAACTTAATATCAAATATCTCAATTCTAAATTCTAGAATTGGGGGAAGACACACCCTACGCAAGGACGACAAGGTGAACCGCCTTAACAAATTGTGTGTTCTTCTTCTTTTTCTTTATTTCCATACTTGGCTACTATAATTTGTGGAAGTTAACTTGTTAAATTTGATTGTACTGAAATTGTAGTGTGTTGAGATTATTTCACAACATTGGTAACAATCCATTTGATTGATACCTAAGAAAACTCACCACTACAATTTAGTAAAACCAAGCCTAAGGTGCTTTGCACTTAAGGTGTTTGACAAATTGACTCATCCAAAAATTATTCATTATGTTTAGCTTTATCTTAATCAACTCATTGGAAGTAAATTCATACTCATTAAGGGTGTATAAGTGATTGACCATTTGAGTAAAACGTATTAATTCTTACTTTGTCATTTTATCTCATACGGTTACGCATATCCGATCTTTTCAATAGAGGATCGTTTAGACGATTGTAGATTCCGGGAGCTTTCGCATATATTTCTGAAAAACAATATTAAAAAGTGAAAATTATTTTAAACGATCTATTCAACCCCCCATCTAGATCGATCACATCGTCTAACACTACGCATATAGTAGCTAATCCTATTTTCTACAAGCGCACAAAGAATTTTTACATAGACTATCACATAGTTAGTCTCAAGGTACAAGAAGGACTTGTGGAATTGCTACCGGTCCCTTCTACTCTTCGAGTGGCGTATATTTTCGCAAAGCATTTATCCCCCGTCCATTTCATACTCTTGTAATCAAGTTTATATTAGTGGATATTTTTCACCCTCCAACTTAGGGAGGGCGCGATAATAATATGAACACATTATGTAACTTGCTCAACAAGTTTTTTTTGGCGTAAATGCACTTTTGACCCTCTATTTTCAAATTTTTTAAGTTTTAGTCCTCCATTTTAAAAGTCAGCTTTTTGATCCCCAAACTTTACCTCACTCAGGATTTTATCGGTCCCCCTCTAGTTTTGTATACGTGACATGATGATTAGGATAAAAAATTATTTATACTTGGCAATATTGGCTAGGAAAATTAATTTATTAATATTTTTTAATTTATTTATTTATTCATTTAATTGAGATTTTCTAAATATTATTTAATTTAATTATTTCAAACATTTAAAATGAAACTTTTGGACCTTTAACTCATCCTTTGCAAAGTCACTTCACTATACATCAGAATCGATTTATTTATTGAGTTTGTTTAATCAATATATACACCAAAATGAAACTTTTAAAAGCCATGTTTTTATAAGTTTTGTTTTGAATTTTAATCTCTCTTTTAAATTGAGATCAATTTTTGGTAAGATGACACTATTATTGAAATTTCTAATGATTTTCACATCAGAATAATCATTTTAAAATTTATTTATTTCATAAGACTTATTATCATTTCATTAAACTTTTTATTATTCCATTTTCATTATTATTATTTCATTAAAATCAATTCATTAATGTTTTTTCCAAGTAGAACAAATGAATGAAGAAAAATGTTCTCCCCCCAAATTAACCTTCATTCTTCTCTTTTATTCATTTTGATCTTGTAATCTTCTTCACAAGTATATCAGGTTTATCTATCGCCCAGATTTACAATAAAATAAATATTATAATATTCTTTACGTCGTACACTAATAAAATATTTATTATTTTACTGATGAGATGAAAAAGAGAGAAAAATTTAAAGATTAATTTAGGAAAAAAACACTTTTATGAAAATTGACCAAGAATAATAACAAGTTTAATGAAGTAATAACAAGTTTTATGAAATAATAAATTTTAAAATAATTATTCTAATATAGAAATCATTAGAAATTAACAATCTTCAATAATAATACCACCTCATCAAAAATTGGCCTCAATTTAAATAGGAGACTAAAATTTAAAATAAAATTTATAAAAGGGATAAAAACATAATTTTTATTAAAATAGAAGGAATAAAATATAAAATAAAATAAAATAAAAGAACTAAAATTGTATTTAAGAAAAAAAAATTAATGAATATTTTCCACCCTCGAGTTTTTGAAGGAATATGTAATTTCCTCAACAAAGTTATTTTTTTGTTAGTTAATTAGAGTTTATTAAAGAGCTAATTATTTCTATTATTGTTAGCCAATAATTCTATTATCTCAACTTATATATAAGCTTGTATTGTAGCATTTTCAACTAATGAAAAAGTTCAATTTTTCACTCATTTCATATTTATCTCTAGTTCGTTTATGAAGATGATAATTTGTATTAATTAGAAAAAGAAATGATAAATTAAGTTGATTTTTGTTTTATAATATTGATGATAGTATTACTATTGTTGGATAGTAAATAAAATGTTTTTGTTGGATTTAATTTTGGGCCAAAAACAAGTAGTTGAGCCCAACTAAAAGTAAAACCCTAATAACATTGTGTAAACCCTAATCTGTCTCCCTCTTGTTCCGTTTCTATTGAATTTCATTTCAAACTTGAAAGAACCTAACACAGTTTGATGGCGTCCGAAAATTCCAAACCAGAAACCGCGCTAGAGAGTTCAAAGGTAGAAACAATAACCAAAGCTGTAGATTCTCTTCTGAAATGGCACAAATCTCGTTTAGAAACCGAAAAACCCAAACTCTTCGAAGAAGAAGACTTCGTCTACCTGGTCTTAACCCTGAAGAAGATTCCCAGCAACGGCCGCGTTAACCCTCACAAGATCCCCATCCCTCACTCCCTCCTCTCGCCGTCATCGGAACAATGTCTCATCATCGACGACCGAGCGAACAAGCCCGGTCGTCTCACTAAAGATGAGGCTAAGAAGAAGATTCAGTCGGAGTCGATTCCTGTTTCGAAGATTCTCAAGCTATCGAAGCTGACTACGGATTATCGCCCGTTCGAGGCGAAGCGGAAGTTGTGTAATTCTTATGATTTGTTTTTTGCTGATAAGAGTGTTGTGCCGTTGTTGCCGAGGTTGCTTGGGAAGCAGTTTTTTAAGAAGAGGAAGGTTCCTGTGCAGGTTGATTTGAAGAAGAGGAACTGGAAGGAGCAGATTGAGAAGGCTTTATCTTCTGCGCTGTTGTTTTTGAGGACTGGGACTTGTAGTGTTTTGAAGGTTGCGAAGATGAGTATGGAGAGGGATGAGATTGTGGAGAATGTGGTTGCGGCTATGGAGGGGGTTGTTGGGGTTTTTCCGAAGAAATGGGGGGTTGTTAGGTCTTTTCATGTTAAGTTGTTGGAGTCTGTTGCGTTGCCGGTTTATCAGGCAGTGCCGGATGTTAGGTTGAAGATTGAGGGGGTTAGGGATTTGGAGGCTGCTTTGGAGAAGGATGAGAAGAAGGTTCGTGATGGGAAAGACGGGAAGAAGGGGAAGAAGGGGAGGATTCATGAGATTAAGTATATGGATGATAGAATGAGTGAGGATGGTGATGTTCGTAGTGATCTTGATGTTGCTGTTGATGATATTGATATTGATATTGATGATGATGCTGTTGGTGGTGGTGATAAGGTAGATGATGATCACGAAAACAGTGAAATTGAGAGTGGAGGGATTGGGAGTAAGAAGAGGAAGAAAGGAGTTAAAGGGAAGAAAGAGGCTTTGAGTGAGACGGGAGGTGTGAAATCGTCCAAGGCTTCTGCTAAGAGGAAGAAGAAAGATGTGTTGGAGACTGTGAATGCTGCAGAAGAAAGTTCCATCAAGAAGGGCAGTGAAAAGAGAAAGAAATTGTCTGCGAAAGATGAGGGTTCGGACAAGAAGAAGAAAAGAGGGTCGGTTGAGAAAGCGGCTACTGAAGATTTGGTCAAGAAGAGTGAGGATAAGGTATCGACAGAGGATGTGGGTTCAAACAAGAAGAAGAAAAAGGGGTCGGCTGTATCGACCGAGGATGTGGGTTCGGACAAGAAGAAGAAAAAGGGGTTGGCTGTGAAAGCTGCTACTGAAGATTTGATCAAGAAGAGTGAGGATAAAGTATTGACGGAGGATGCGGCTTCGAACAAGAAGATGAAAAAGGGGTCGGCTGTGAAAGCTGCTACTGAAGATTTGATCAAGAAGAGTGAGGATAAAGTATCGACCGGGGATGCGGGTTTGGACAAGAAGAAAAGAGGGTCGGCTATGAAAGCTGCCACCGAAGAATTGATCAAGAAGAGCAAGGATAAATTATTCATTGATGATGCTGGTTCGGCCAAGAAAAAGAGAGCTGATGTGAAGGTAAAAGATAGGAAAAGTAAGAAAGCTGTTTGAACCGACTCGCAATGTTGGAACAATTTTGTTGTTAAATTTATTGCTTGTGGCTCTGTGCAATCATGCGTTGTTTTGCTTGATGAGTTCCCTGGCAGATTTTGTTTTCTGAGAATTTATGGTATTTAATGTGTTTTGTTTATGGTATTCAAATGTACTCTGTTTAAGCTTTAGATTGGTTCTCTATAGGCAAAAAAAATCAAAATATTGTTTCTCATTTCAGTGATATTAAGTTATTTAGATACTTATTGTTTTGCACACTGAAATTCTGAAGCTTTTCTTTTGCAGTCTACAGCTTTACAATAAATTTAGTTTCATCGTTTTGTTTGTTGCATACCTGTTTATCATGAATTCTATCTAATTTGTGTTGTTCTGCTTGTTCAGTTTCAGTTTTTTCGTTTCTAGAATGCTAATTTGGTGTAATTCTGTGCACCAATTGTAAACATTTCATTAAACTTAATTTTACACAACAGTAAGGGTAGAAAGGTTCATATTCAATCTTCATTTCAAAATTGTGACAAATTTAATTGGATTGTGTAAATTAGACTTAGAAAGGCATATGTGTATGAAGTACTCAGAACTTGCGATATCATTTATATTGCTAGTTGAAAGTCTTTATTTGATTCAGAACATGTTGCAATCATTTGTTCAACTAGGACATACCAGTCATCACTCTAAAACTAAGTTCGAAAATTAACTAAAAAGTTAAAACCATCCAAACCTTTTGAGCCATTATTCGTATCAAATGATTTTGATTATGCTGGGTCTATATGCTACTTTCTTTTCATTGTCTTTCTTCTGCGGTGCACAGGTATGGAAAGGATTACAGATATTTATTTCACTTTGCAAGAAATATAATAACTAATATGAAAGGGTGTGATTTGCTGTCTGATACAGTGGTATGGTTAAGCACAGGGGATTTTAGATTATGAATCTTCATTTCAGTATGTTGATGGGTGTTAGAAATCTTTGGAGTTAGAAATCTTGGGATGATGTTAGCCTGGAGTTGGAGTTGAAATGGTTTATTGATATTAAATGGGCAATAAATGAGCATAAGTAAGAACAAATATGAAAGTGAATTTGAAAGAATTCATTTTAGTTCTACACTGGAGAGAATACAAATATTAGTAGTGTATATATATTCTAACTTGACCAATTGGGTTGGGTTCCAAGGGGCACCCCAATTTTGTAAATGAGTGAGGACACACCCATAAGCCATCTAGACACGCGCGCGTGCGTTGCTTCGACCGATTTGGTTAGGTCTAGATGAATTAATTTTTATAATCTGAATTAGTGAAAATGAATTATCATTAGTTAATTAATTAGGTGGAAATTAAAAATAAGAAATTAATTAATATTAATATTAATTAATTATGAAATGGTGACGTGTCTTACAAAGAAAATAAGTCTTAATCTATTTTTTGACTGATTATGTTTGCCCTCAAAAGAGTCATACGTGTACGTGTGACTTGTTGACTAAGTGAAAAAACGGCTACATTTGACTGAGCCGATTCTACTATCTCCTACGATTTTCTTTTAAATAAGGTTGGGTTTAGTCAAACTATAGGGGCAGATTTTGATCTTGAAGATGGAATTGGAGATTTTGAGCTGAAGTTTACCTCAGGAAAGACTTTGATCTTGAAGGACGTCATGCACGTTCCTGAAATTAGGAAGAATATTGTTTTGGGTTTTCTTTTAAATAAGGTTGAGTTTAGTCAAACTATAGGGGCAGATTTGTACACCATCACCAAGAATGGTATTTTTGTTGGGAAAGGGTACGCCACTAATGGCATGTTTAAGTTGAATGTTGATTTGAATAAGATTTGTCCTTCTGTTTATTTTTTGCGTGATCTTAATATTATTTGGCATGCTAGATTTTGTCACGTTAATAAGCGAATCATGTATAATGCAAGCAACTTAGGCCTGATCCCTAAATTAAATATCAATGATTCAAATAAATGTGAATATTTTAGTCAAGCTAAAATAACTAAGACATCACATAAATCAATTATTAGAGAATCTGATCCCCTAAATCTTATACACTCTAATATATATGAATTAGATGAAACTTTAACTAGAAACAGTAAACGTTATTTTATCACTTTTATTGATGATTGTTCAAATTATACTTATGTATACTTAATGAAGAATAAAAGTGAAGCACTTGATATGTTTAAGTTGTATGTAACTGAAATTGAGAATCAACTTAGTAAGAAGATTAAGAGACTTCGTAGTGATAGGGGAACTGAATATGACTCTGATCTATTTAATGATTTTTATAAATAACATGAAATTGTACATGAAACGACTGCTCCATATTCTCCTGAAATGAATGGTAAAGCAGAAAGAAAGAATAGAACTCTTACTGAACTTGTTGTTACAATTATGATGAATTCTGGTGCTGCAGCTCACTGATGGGGGAAAATTTTATTGTTTGTTTGCTATGTCCTGAATAGAGTTCCAAAGTCAAAATATAAGATATCTCCTTATGAGATATTAAAAAAAAGACAACCAAACTTGTCTTATTTGAGAACTTGGGGCTGTCTGGCTTATGTCAGAATTCCGGATTCGAAACGAGTTAAACTCGCTAGTAGAGCATATGAATGTGTTTTCATTGGGTATGCAGCAAACAGTAAAGCATATATGTTTTATGACCTAAAGGAAAAAGTGATCATATAATCAAATGATGTTGAATTCTATGAAGACAAATTTCCTTTCAAATTGAGAAATAGTGGGGGCACACAATCGAGTCACATTCATGTGATAAGAAGCATAGAAAGCAACGATAATGTAGAAATAGAACTTCGACGAAGTAAACGAGTAAGAGTTGTTAAAGACTATGGGTTTGATTATGCGGCTTATAATGTAGAAGAAGATCCAATGAATCTTCAAGAAGCCTTGTCATCTCTGAATGCTGATTTATGGCAAGAAGCTATCAATAATGAGATAGAATCTCTAGAATCTAACAAGACCTGACACTTAGTAGACTTGTCTTCTGACTGTAAACCAATCGGTTGTAAATGGATTTTAAAAAAGAAACTAAAACCTGATGGAACTATTGATAAATACAAGGCTCGCCTTGTTGCCAAGGGTTTTAGACAAAGAGAAAATATAGATTTCTTCGACACATTTTCTCATGTCACTAGAATTACATCTATTAGGGTACTTATTTCAATAGCTGCTATTTATAACTTAATAGTACACCAAATGGATGTTAAAACAACTTTTTTAAATGGTGACTTAGAAGAAGAAATCTATATGGAATAACCAGAAGGATTTGTGATCTATGGACAAGAAAATAAGGTCTGTAAGTTAGATACGTTTTTGTATGGACTAAAACAATCTTTTAAGCAATGGCATGAAAAATTTGATAACTTAATGATATCAAATGGGTACAAAGTGAATGAAAGTGATAAATGCGTTTACTATAAATCTGAGAATCACATATGCACTATCATATGTCTCTATGTAGACGATCTACTCATATTTGGATCAAACACTCAGACCATTAATGATGTGAAATCACTGTTGCGCAACAACTTTGATATGGAAGACCTCAGAGAAGCAAGTGTGATCCTTAGTATCAAGATCACGAGATCCAAACAAGGAATTTCTTTGGATCAATCACACTATGTGGAGAAGATCTTAAAGAAATATTAATACTTTGACTGTAAACCTGCATGCACACCATATGATCCAAGTGTGAAACTGTTTAAGAACACTAGAGAAAGTTTCAGACAATCAGAATATGCGAGCATTATTCGCAGTCTTACGTATGCCACTGATTGTACTAGATCCGACATTGCATATATCGTAGGAATGTTATGCAAGTTTACAAGTAGACCAAGTAAAGAGCACTGACAAGCTATTGAACGAGTCATGAGGTACCTCAAAAGGACCATGGATCTCGGCCTACATTATCAGAAGTTTCCTGTTGTACTAGAAGGGTACAGTGATGTAGATTGGAATACTTTGTCAGATGATTCCAAAGCTATTAGTGGCTATATATTTAGTATAGTTGGAGGAGCTGTATCTTGGAAATCAAAAAAACAAACTATCCTAGCTCAGACCACAATGGAACTTGAGATGATAGCACTAGCCACAGCTAGTGAAGAAGCGAGTTGGTTGAGATGCTTGCTAGTTGAGATCCCTTTATGGGAAAAACCTATGCCAGCTATGTTGATCCACTGCGTTAGTACCGCGGCTATTGCAAAAATTGAGAACCATTATTATAATGGTAAAAGATGTCAAATAAGAAGAAAGCACAACACTGTCAGAGACTGTATCTCTAAAGGATATGTAAGAGTGGATTATGTACGCACTGATGAAAACTTAACAGATCCTTTGACGAAAGGATTAGCTAGAGAGAAAGTCCATAATACATCCAAGAAGATGAGACTAATGCCTATAAAGAAATGAGTTGCTCATGATGGTAACCCGATCTAGATGATTGGAGATCTCAAGAAATAGGTTCAATGGGTAATAACAAGTTGTGAGTAATATGAGATGATCATGCAAGTAAAGCATGAATCCTGAAGTAATAAGAGGATGAGATAATATAAGCTCTTAATGAGATCTATACTCTATATGAGGGAGTACCTTGGCTACATGAGTACTCTTGATAGACTCACCTTTGTGATTGTGGAACTTGGGTCGGTTCCTATGGAATTGCGAGGTAGAATTCATAGAGCCTTCACTAAACCAGGATTGTGGAACTTGGGTCGGAATCCTACTTGCTATACAAAAGTTCAAGTCGTAGACACCTTTGTTTATGCATAATCTTAGAAACGTTTGACGACTTCTAAAATCACCATTTAAATTCAAGTGGGGGATTGTTGAAAATCTTGGGATGATGTTAGCTTAGAGTGGGAATTGTAATGGTTTATTGATATTAAATGGGCATTAAATGAGCATAAGTAAAATCTAGTATGGAAGTGAATTTGAAAGGATTCATTTTAGTCTCACATAGGAGAGAATACAAATATTAGTATATATATATATAT